GTGTGGTACACTACTACTACACTCCCACACTACACCACCAACACACACTACACTACTACACTTACTCCAGGGAGAGAGGGGAGGGGGACATTCATTAATAAAACGAGCAGAGTACAAAGCCCAGTTCGGTTATCAATGAACCAGTAACCACTTGAAGAGTCAATGCTATTAAATTCCACTCTGAACGTGCCCAACCAGCCTCGACTCATTGTAACTCTGACTAGTCCCACAGGGCACTGAAGGCGTTAGCGAAGGATGCATCCTGACATCGTTAGCATCCTGACATCGTTAGCATCCTGACAAGAGGATGTTGATTGACGTCAACATTTGATTGACCAGTTGATTGGGACTAAAGAGACAAAGCTCAACCCAAACTCAACCCAACCCAAGCTCAACCCAACAAAGCTCAATTAATTGCTTAGCATCACAGCCCGTCCTCATCAACGAAGGCCAAATGGTCGTTAACCCACCCGCCAACCACCCCCGTTTTTTGAATGAAAAACAGTTTCCATGCGACTCAACTGATGACGTTTGAACTTTTCGCGGTGTGTTTAACGGTTATCTTGTGCCGAGAGAGTGTGAGGACCCGAGGTTCTAAGTCACTTGGGAAGCTGTAGTTAAGATCAGGTAGTGTGAACTACGCCAAGGCTGTAGGGAACACGTGGGAGCCGGTAATGGGAGCCGTGACCGACGCCCCACAGCCTGGCCGGGGACCGTGGGAGCCGCCGCCATATTTTCCCGCGCGCGGGCACGACGCCTCCCAGCAAGAAAGCCATAACGAACAGGCAGCCGTTGGCGCTATGTTTCTATTGTTATTAGTCAAGAGTTCCGTCCCTATTCTCCTTTGTGGCAGTATTGTTGCAAGGCAAGATAATTATCAGAAGGCACTACGCCATTGCAACTAGAGAGAAAATCAGTAGGGGGCCAATTTAAATTTCTTTTATTATGCACCCCATACCCAATCCCGTAGGCGGGATGGATGAATGCCAATGAATATTGTTGTAAGAGTTCTGAAGTGATGGTGAGGGCTAGTGATAGTGAGGGCTAGTGACGGTGAGGGCTAGTGATGGCGAGGGCTAGTGACGGTGAGGGCTAGTGATAGTGAGGGCTAGTGATAGTGAGGGCTAGTGACGGTGAGGGCTAGTGACGGTGAGGGCTGGTGACGGTGAGGGCTAGTGACGGTGAGGGCTAGTGACGGTGAGGGCTAGTGACGGTGAGGGCTAGTGACGGTGAGGGCTGGTGATGGTGAAGGCTAGTGATGGTGAGGGCTAGTGACGGTGAGGGCTAGTGACAGTGAGGGCTAGTGATAGTGAGGGCTAGTGATAGTGAGGGCTAGTGATAGTGAGGGCTAGTGATAGTGAGGGCTAGTGATAGTGAGGGCTAGTGATAGTGAGGGCTAGTAACGGTGAGGGCTAGTGACAGTGAGGGCTAGTGATAGTGAGGGCTAGTGATAGTGAGGGCTAGTGATAGTGAGGGCTAGTGATAGTGAGGGCTAGTGATAGTGAGGGCTAGTAACGGTGAGGGCTAGTGACGGTGAGGGCTAGTGATGGTGAGGGCTAGTGACGGTGAGGGCTAGTGATAGTGAGGGCTAGTGATAGTGAGGGCTAGTGATAGTGAGGGCTAGTGACGGTGAGGGCTAGTGACGGTGAGGGCTAGTGACGGTGAGGGCTAGTGATAATGAGGGCTAGTGACGGTGAGGGCTAGTGACGGTGAGGGCTAGTGACGGTGAGGGCTAGTGACGGTGAGGGCTAGTGATGGTGAGGGCTAGTGACGGTGAGGGCTAGTGACGGTGAGGGCTAGTGACGGTGAGGGCTAGTGACGGTGAGGGCTAGTGACGGTGAGGGCTAGTGACGGTGAGGGCTAGTGACGGTGAGGGCTAGTGACGGTGAGGGCTAGTGACGGTGAGGGCTAGTGACGGTGAGGGCTAGTGACGGTGAGGGCTAGTGACGGTGAGGGCTAGTGATGGCGAGGGCTAGTGATGGTGAGGGCTAGTGATGGTGAGGGCTAGTGACGGTGAGGGCTAGTGACGGTGAGGGCTAGTGATGGTGAGGGCTAGTGACGGCGAGGGCTAGTGACGGCGAGGGCTAGTGACGGTGAGGGCTAGTGACGGTGAGGGCTAGTGACGGTGAGGGCTAGTGACGGTGAGGGCTAGTGACGGTGAGGGCTAGTGACGGTGAGGGCTAGTGATAGTGAGGGCTAGTGACGGTGAGGGCTAGTGACGGTGAGGGCTAGTGACGGTGAGGGCTAGTGACGGTGAGGGCTAGTGACGGTGAGGGCTAGTGACGGTGAGGGCTAGTGACGGCGAGGGCTAGTGACGGTGAGGGCTAGTGATGGTGAGGGCTAGTGACGGTGAGGGCTAGTGACGGCGAGGGCTAGTGACGGTGAGGGCTAGTGACGGTGAGGGCTAGTGACGGTGAGGGCTAGTGACGGTGAGGGCTAGTGACGGTGAGGGCTAGTGATGGTGAGGGCTAGTGACGGTGAGGGCTAGTGATGGTGAGGGCTAGTGACGGTGAGGGCTGGTGATGGTGAGGGCTGGTGATGGTGAGGGCTAGTGATGGTGAGGGCTAGTGACGGTGAGGGCTAGTGACGGTGAGGGCTAGTGACGGTGAGGGCTAGTGACGGTGAGGGCTAGTGACGGTGAGGGCTAGTGACGGTGAGGGCTAGTGATGGCGAGGGCTAGTGACGGTGAGGGCTAGTGACGGTGAGGGCTAGTGATGGTGAGGGCTAGGGATAGCGAGTTGATGGTGGGGCTAGTGATGGTCAGGGCTAGTGATGGTCAGGGCTAGTGATGGTGAGGGCTATTGATGGTGAGGGCTAGTGATGGTGAGGGCTAGTGATATTAACTCATATACCTTGTGATCATTTGCCAAGTAAGCCTCGATAATTTTGATTTAAGAGCTTTTGCTATTTCATTTATTTTGTGACACTCGAGGAGAGCTTGCGAATAGCGCAAGCAATTGAGATCAAAGACGAAAGGCAGCCAAGCGAGTGCTAAGCCGATTGGGCATTTAAAACCATTGCTTTAGACCATACGTTATTGACGTATTGTATGATCAGTGCTTATTTTAATTACATTACTGTCGAGCACTGTGTTTTTCTGTCTCATTGTTTTACTGTGCATTAGTCCTGCTGCAGAGGCCGAGTAACAACAGATTACTTGGACAGCTGCTACGGGCTAATTCCTGGGAGTGGAGGCCTGGTCGAGGACCGGTATTGATATGAACTTCAATATTTTATATATATATATATATATATATATATATATATATATATATATATATATATATATATATATATATATATATATATATATGTCGTACTTAGTAGCCAGAACGCATTTCTCAGCCTACTATGCAAGGCCCGTTTTGCCTAATAAGCCAAGTTTTCCTGAATTAATATATTTTCTCTAATTTTTTTCTTATGAAATGATAAAGCTACTCATTTCATTATGTATGAGGTCAATTTTTTTATTGGAGGTAAAATTAACGTAGATATATGACCAAACCTAACCAACCCTACCTAACCTAACCTATCTTTATAGGTTAGGTTCGGTTAGGTAGCCGAAAAAGTTAGGTTAGGTTAGGTAGTCGAAAAAACATTATTTCATGAAAACTTGGCTTATTAGGCAAATCGGGCCTTGCATAGTAGGCTGAGAAGTGCGTTCTGGCTACTAGGTACGACATTATATATATATATATATATATATATATATATATATATATATATATATATATATATATAATGGGAACAAACCTATATTTTTAATACACACACTAGGCTAAAATTTATGAATGCGTCGTGGGGGACCACCGCCGTTTTAACGAGCCTAGCCTGAGCACAGGTTGCAACGTGAGAGCCACAATCAACGAGACACTGACGATCAACGTGACACTGACGATCAACGAGACACTGACGATCAACGAGACACTGACGATCAACGAGACACTGACGATCAACGAGACACTGACGATCAACGAGACACTGACGATCAACGAGACACTGACGATCAACGAGACACTGACGATCAACGAGACACTGACGATCAACGAGACACTGACGATCAACGAGACACTGACGATCAACGAGACACTGACGATCAACGAGACACTGACGATCAACGAGACACTGACGATCAACGAGACACTGACGATCAACGAGACACTGACGATCAACGAGACACTGACGATCAACGAGACACTGACGATCAACACACAAACATTCACTACAAAATTCGCCTATGTGAAATTTAATTAAAACTTTTCACCCGATTCAGCAGACGGAAGTTTTTAAGGGGGGGGGCGGCGCCCCTGGAATTTTAGCTTGAAGGGGGGGAGGGGGAGAGGGGAGGGAGATAAAGAGGGGAGGGAGAGAGATATAGTAGATATGATAAGAGGAAAAAATAGATAGGAAATCAGTACAACAGACGATTATAGAGGCGGAGTCCAAGAGCTAGCCATTCTGCAGACACAAATAACACACACACTTGTAGAAATAAACCATATCATTGCCCACTGAGATGCGGGACCAAGAGCTGAGCCTCAACCCCACACACACACACACACACACACACACACACACACACACACACACACACACACACACACACACACACACACCGTCACAGGGAAGTGGAATAGGCTCAGTGCATGAATTTCTAAACTAACTGGAGCGGCGACTGTCTCCTGATGTTTAATCCATTGTCTCTTCCTTCCCTGCTTTCCCACTCCCACCACTCTCCCACCCCCGCCCCCCATCACCTAGGGGGCCCCTTCCACCTCTCTCTCCCTCTCCCCGGCGGCCAAATTGGGCTGAAACCGCCGCCGGCGCTATTGATCTGAGCGTAAGTTGTCTAGGAGCGGCGGTGCTGAGAAGGGAGTTCCCAGCGGTAGTTTCCGTGAGTGTGGTGGGTGGTGGTTGTGATGCAACCACTGGTGCATGCTGTCCCACCAACTACCCTCAGCTACCACTACCAACCGTCCTCCCCTCCCCCCGCGCACCCGTTAACGTCTTAACATAACAACTTGGTGAATCACAGGCCGCCTACGGCCGCCCGCCCGCGCCACGAGGCGGTATTGGCCACCAGTGCAACGGGCGTCTGTGGGCGGGGGTACAGCGGTCGCCTGTGGGCGGGGGTACAGCGGCCGCCTGTGCGCGAGGGTACAGCGGCCGCCTGTGGGCGGGGGTACAGCGGCCGCCTGTGGGCGGGGGTACAGCGGCCGCCTGTGGGCGGGGGTACAGCGGCCGCCTGTGGGCGGGGGTACAGCGGCCGCCTGTGGGCGGGGGTACAGCGGCCGCCTGTGCGCGGGGGTACAGCGGCCGCCTGTGCGCGGGGGTACAGCGGCCGCCTGTGCGCGGGGGTACAGCGGCCGCCTGTGCGCGGGGGTACAGCGGCCGCCTGTGCGCGGGGTACAGCGGCCGCCTGTGCGCGGGGGTACAGCGGCCGCCTGTGCGCGGGGGTACAGCGGCCGCCTGTGCGCGGGGGTACAGCGGCCGCCTGTGCGCGGGGGTACAGCGGCCGCCTGTGCGCGGGGTACAGCGGCCGCCTGTGCGCGGGGTACAGCGGCCCGCCTGTGGGCGGGGGTACAGCGGCCGCCTGTGGGCGGGGGTACAGCGGGCGCCTGTGGGCGGGGGTACAGCGGGCGTCTGTGGGGCGGGGGTACAGCGGCCGCCTGTGGGCGGGGGTACAGCGGCCGCCTGTGCGCGGGGGTACAGCGGCCGCCTGTGCGCGGGGTACAGCGGGCGTCTGTGGGCGGGGGTACAGCGGGCGTCTGTGGGCGGGGGTACAGCGGCCGCCTGTGGGCGGGGGTACAGCGGCCGCCTGTGGGCGGGGTACAGCGGCCGCCTGTGGGCGGGGTACAGCGGTCGCCAGTGGGCGGGGTACAGCGGTCGCCTGTGGGCGGGGTACAGCGGCCGCCTGTGGGCGGGGTACAGCGGCCGCCTGTGGGCGGGGTACAGCGGCCGCCTGTGGGCGGGGTACAGCGGCCGCCTGTGGGCGGGGTACAGCGGCCGCCTGTGGGCGGGGTACAGCGGCCGCCTGTGGGCGGGGTACAGCGGCCGCCTGTGGGCGGGGTACAGCGGCCGCCTGTGGGCGGGGTACAGCGGCCGCAAGTGGGCGGGTTACAGTGGCCGCCTGTGGGCGGAGTACAGCGGGACACTATAATATATAATGTCCATTGTACAAATTCTTTCAAAACTTGCAATAAAGTAATACAATAAAGTAATACCCAATACTGTCACTATGGCGGTGTGTCCACTCACAGGATGAGTGCCGCTGCCCAATACTGTCACTAAGGCGGTGTGTCCACTCACAGGATGAGTGACGCTGCCCAATACTGTCACTATGGCGGTGTGTCCACTCACAGGATGAGTGACGCTGCCCAATACTGTCACTATGGCGGTGTGTCCACTCACAGGATGAGTGGCGCTGCCCAATACTGTCACTATGGCGGTGTGTCCACTCACAGGATGAGTGACGCTGCCCAATACTGTCACTATGGCGGTGTGTCCACTCACAGGATGAGTGCCGCTGCCCAATACTGTCACTATGGCGGTGTGTCCACTCACAGGATGAGTGGCGCTGCCCAATACTGTCACTATGGCGGTGTGTCCACTCACAGGATGAGTGACGCTGCCCAATACTGTCACTATGGCGGTGTGTCCACTCACAGGATGAGTGCCGCTGCCCAATACTGTCACTATGGCGGTGTGTCCACTCACAGGATGAGTGGCGCTGCCCAATACTGTCACTATGGCGGTGTGTCCACTCACAGGATGAGTGGCGCTGCCAATACTGTCACTATGGCGGTGTGTCCACTCACAGGATGAGTGGCGCTGCCCAATACTGTCACTATGGCGGTGTGTCCACTCACAGGATGAGTGACGCTGCCCAATACTGTCACTATGGCGGTGTGTCCACTCACAGGATGAGTGGCGCTGCCCAATACTGTCACTATGGTGGTGTGTCCACTCACAGGATGAGTGACGCTGCCCAATACTGTCACTATGGTGGTGTGTCCACTCACAGGATGAGTGGCGCTGCCCAATACTGTCACTATGGCGGTGTGTCCACTCACAGGATGAGTGACGCTGCCCAATACTGTCACTATGGCGGTGTGTCCACTCACAGGATGAGTGCCGCTGCCCAATACTGTCACTATGGCGGTGTGTCCACTCACAGGATGAGTGACGCTGCCCAATACTGTCACTATGGCGGTGTGTCCACTCACAGGATGAGTGGCGCTGCCCAATACTGTCACTATGGTGGTGTGTCCACTCACAGGATGAGTGGCGCTGCCCAATACTGTCACTATGGTGGTGTGTCCACTCACAGGATGAGTGACGCTGCCCAATACTGTCACTATGGCGGTGTGTCCACTCACAGGATGAGTGACGCTGCCCAATACTGTCACTAAGGCGGTGTGTC